GAAGGTGGTTTGGGATGGCAGTCCCTGTGGTCTGTCAACTCTGCTTGCAGATCCAGCAGGAACCCTTTCACATTCAGAATGTTCCTGGGACAGACAGGTCCAAATCTGAGCAAAACCAGTAGAAGCTGGGAAAAGGCAGCTCATATAGAATGGTCTTGTTGTACTGTCTTTGGATTTGATAATCAGTTATGGATGGATTTGATAATCAGTTATGCTCCTTGTGGACTGTAATGGCATCTGCAGTTGCATTGGATCAAAATTAGAGCATCTTAAGTTGTGTGATAGTATTTGTTCATTATTAGAGAGTCAGTTTTTGCAGGTGTATTTCAAGATGAATCCAATAAAGCCAACCTCAGTTCGGTTGCTCACACAACTCCCTCAGCAGGAAAGATTTGTGTTGGTGATTTACCCGTGAAATGATGCAGCTTTCATGGCTGTATCATTGTAAAAAGAGTCTGTTTAAAATTTATATTAATTTTGGTGATTCAAGAAGCTCCTTTTTGTGTGTGTTTTGACAACATGATTTTGTCCTTTTTGTGCCCTCAGCATTTATGTAGTGTTAAGTGTTAAGAATGGAAGAACAGTGGGCAGAATTTATGTTACTTGAACAACTGTCTGTCTAACTTTCCTAAACATTTTGACTTTAAATGGTCTGTAGTCTTTCAGTAAGTTGTATTTATATTTACATTTTAAAGTCATATCTTTAAAAACATTTAATTAGGGGGATTTATTGCTTCACTGAAATTCTTGTCTTGTATATGGCAAAATTCTAACTCAAGGTGACTTCTTGCATAATTATATTTCACATTTTTTAAAAGAGCTTAAGTGACTCGCTGCTTTTGAAGCATGGCTACAGACTACCTGTGGGGGTTCTGCCTGTGAGAACCTAAGCTTCTCACATCAAGATTTTTGCCACTCAAGCTGAATGGGGGCACTCTGCCTTACAGCTTTTCAGTTGTCTACTTAGTTATGTTTTTGTTGATAGTAGTTTTTACAAAACAGTGCTGTGGGAAGCACTGATCATCTTGTAAGGCTAATTTTGTATCAGATAGTATGGTTTTAGGAAGCAGAATCTGTCTTTTTTTTTTTTTTTAGACTATGTAAAATTAGTGTATTTAAAGATACAGGCTACTGTTATGTAGTACAAGATACTAATTGCGGGTCATACAAGTCTGCCTTGGAAGCTTCATTATGTGGATGGTGTAGTTTTTATTTAATGTTACAGAAAACATAATACAAAAACATAGTTTCCTTAAAGGAAATATTGTAATTTGTTAAACAAAATTATCTGTCCACTAGGTGTCCGTAGTTCCAAGCCGGATGAAGCTTGGAAGGCTGGTACATGATGAAGCTTCAAAGTAACTAATGTTTGTTGATACTACAGCAACTGCTTCTCAATGTTTCTTTTGCTCAGTGTTTTCAAATTACATTAATTTTTTTTATTTCATAAGTTGACCCAGGAAATAGAGTTTTGCTATTTCTTTGAGCCTATTTTACATATTTATTTCTTTCTTACCTTCCAAACAACATGAAGAGTAAAATATTTTTTCTGCCAACCTCACAGGACTTATTTCCAGCCCTGTATCATGTCTGCAGGTCTAGTTTTGCAAAAAAATAACAGGTGTGGGTTAAATGCATTGAGGAAGCACAAAACTACTGTTTGAGCTCTTCAGAGCTATATAGTAAAGTTTTATAATTCTGTTGTTGTTCATCTCTCTTTCTTTTTTTGTTGTTGATTTAAGGGTTCTAAGTTTGGAATTAAATAAAGATAGAGATGTGGAAAGAGTACATACGAGTGGTATCAACACCCTTGATATTGAGCCTGTTGAGGGAAGATAGTAAGTATATATTTCAATTAGTAAAAATGTATATGAGAACTTTACTGTGTTTTGCTTCTACGGATTTATTTTCTTGCTGAACGCTCAATTATATTGAGATCCTAAGTGTTGTAACTTGTATGCTTTATTAACAATTTCAGCATGTTATCCGGTGGGTCGGATGGTGTTATTGTACTTTATGACCTTGAAAACTTGAGCAGAAAACCAAGTTACACATGTAAAGCACTTTGCTCTGTGGGAAGGTAGGTACTCAAAAATGCTTTTAAAAGTTCATATCGATATCTCTTGTGTTAAACTCGTAAATTAATGTGTGTTCTTATTTCTAGGATTAAAAGACTGTAGAAAATAGTGCCAGAAATCTTTGAAGGCTAGCATGATGCATTATGGTTTTTGGCTCGCAAAAAAAAAAAAAAAAGCAAGAAACTTTGTTCCAATTTATGTGATTTACTATGTAGCAAGACCTAATTGTTTTTCTTGATTTGTCTACTCTTAACAGTTACATTATAGATACAATGACTCTAACATTGTTTGAGTTGGCAGTTCAAAAGTTAAAATGCAGGTTGTAAATTGTGCTCACATGGCAACTACAGTAGACAGGCTTCTGTTGCTGTAGATGCCACAAAAAAAGTCTGAGTTAATACTCCAATCTCATGTTTAAAAACTAGAAAAAAGACCAAAAAAAACCCCAACCCTCTTCCAGGTGACAGCTTCTCCCTTGTGAGTTTTCTTAATTGTTTCATGTTGAAATTTACTGACTCTATGCCAGTAATTACAAGAAATTTTGTGACTGTTGTAGAAGCATTGCTTCTGCCCCCCAAGTACAGAAGTGTGTGTACCTTTGAATAATTATGTGTCGAAGCAAAAGGAAAATAATATTTGCATAACCCTGTTCATCTGATTATAAAAAAAATCTAATACAGATTTGCAGTTGGTTTTATTTCCCCTCTCCCTGTTCCCAACTTTACTAATAGCTGTTTTGAGTTCACCAGGTGTTTACTAGGTACAGAAGTAATTAATCAGAACTTCTTAAGAACGTTTGAATTAATACAGGTGTGTTACTGACAAAAAGGGGATGTATTTTCCTGAACAGGGTACTACTATACTGTGTGTAATCTACATAAAGATTCAAAGCCTTTATTGATCTGTCAGGCTTTCTCTGCAGGCAGGATAAATTTGTCCATTGTGTGCATTAAGTCTTCTAGCAAAAGCTGTTTTTTCCTTGTCTTTTCACAGTAAGGTTAATCTAGTAGGTTAGGACTTCATCTGAGGCTCATGATAAGATATACCCTCCTGTATAAAAGATTAGTAGCTACATTTTCCTCTTCTTTTTTTCCTGGTCTTCATATTATTTGAGGTCTAAGAGTTTCAAGGGTAAGATCAAGAAGAACAGAACAGAGTTGTAACAATAAAAGGCGTGAATGGTATCTTGGACTATAAGAAAGAAAAAAGGTAATAGAATATGCATCAAAAAAAATGGGTAGGAACAGAATGTACTGCAAGTAAGGTGCATTTGGTAAGTGTTGATGGCTGGGACTTGAACAAAATCAATTAACATTGTAATTAAGAAAAAGTAATGACTACACATTCCCAAATCTCAAAATGAAAATTAATTCTGAAACAGATACAGCAGACTGAAGAAACACATGCTGAGAAGACACAGCATAAAAACTGGCAAATCTGTACTAAAAATCATGCCATCATTAACTTCATTTAGGTCAGTAAAAATATTCCATACTTGAAAATTCTGTTTATGAGCATAGTTAGTTGGTAGTTTGTTTCCTGAGTAGATGTTATTTTCTGTAGAAGCATCTCTTGTTTTTTACCAGTTGAGTAGAGGCATAAATTGTACTAGTAGAATCTGTAGATGAAAAGTAGATGAAAAACTGAATATGAGCTGGCAGTGTGTGTTTGCGGCCCAGAAGGCCAACCGGATCCTGGGCTGCAGCAAGAGAAGCGTGGCCAGCAGGTCGAGGGAGGTGATTCTGCCCCTCTACTCTGCTCTCGTGAGGCCCCACCTGGAATACTGTGTCCAGCTCTGGGACCCCCAACGCAACAAGGACGTTGAGCTGTTGGAGCAGGTCCAGAGGAGGGCCATGAAGATGATCAGAGGGCTGGAGCACCTCCCTTATGAGGACAGGCTGAGAGAGTTGAGGTTGTTCATCCTAGAGAAGAGAAGGCTCCAGGGAGACCTTAGAGCAGCCTTCCAGTACCTGAAGGGGGCCTACAGGAGAGATGGGGAGGGGCTTTTTAAAAGGGCATGTAGTAATGAGGACGAGGGGTAATGGATTTAAACTGGAAGAGGGCAGATTTAGACTAGATATTAGAAAGAAATTCTTTCACTGTGAGGGTGGGGAGGCAGTGGCCCAGGTTGCCCAGGGAAATTGTGGATGCCCCATCCCTGGAGGTGTTCAAGGCCAGGCTGGATGAGGCGTCTAGTGGAGGGTGTCCCTGCCCATGGCAGGGGGGGGGTGGAACTCAGTGATCTTTAAGGTCCCTTCTAATCCAAACCATTCAGTGATTCTATGATACAGATTCAGCTATTGGAATATTATTCATGCAGAGTTCCTGACATCATAAATGAATTTATAATTACCAGTAGAAAACACTTTCCATCTCTCTGCCTTCTGTCTTTGAAGCATATGATAAGGACGTGTTGCAGATGTTTGTCTGTGTTCCAAGTTTGCAGGGCGTAATGCAAGTCTGGTCTTGAAGTTATTTAAAGAATAATCTCTTGGTAGAGGCCCTTCGAAGCTATTTCTGAACAGACTGAACTGGGCCTGCAGAGGGTCCAGTAGTTTAGACCATCAGAGGAGATAATTCCTGATGGTAGGCTGTGATTTCCCCAGTATTTCCTATCTAGAACATAGGGCAATTATTGCAAAAACCAAGAACTTTCTGTGTTCCTCTGGGAGTCAGCATGCAGAGCTTTACATGGTTTTGTGTGATCAATGCTGTCCTGTAGCAAAAAAATGGCATTTGAGAGTAACCAAACAGTACCAGCTTCTAGATAATGTATAGCTGATACTTGTGTGTAAGGTAGTCTCCTCTACTCAAAACATCTCTAGGAAGAATGAATGGCAGTGACCTTACTGTCCAGAGCATTAGTTCTGTGTTTATCTTTGGTAGAAAAGATTGGGATATTCTGAGTAGTGGGGGAAAATAGTGCATATAGAATGAACTGGGAATAACATACAGCCCTGAGACGTGAAGCCAAGGCTGAGTGGCATGTGGCCACTACTAAGCCTAGCCAGATCAAAGGTGATTACAGCTACTCAAGAGTTTTTTAGTTCATTCCTCAGCCCTCTGGATTATGGGAGAATTGATTGCTCCTGTGCAGTGCTGAACACCGTCCAGTGTTATGCACTTATATGTATTGCACCAGGATAATTGGTTCCCTGAGTTTAGATTTTTCTGCACAATGCATACAAATGCCTCTGCAAGAGTAAGTTCACGCCAAGTCAGGCATGATTTCCTGGCACTGCAGGTAGTGAAGATTTTTAGCTTGTCCCCCTGTAGAGTAAGTGCACAAAATCTGTTGATTTTTAGCAGCATGGCATAGTAACATGTTGTTCTAGGATGTGCCTCAGAGATAAGCAGTGCAGGAGTTATTAAACTAAGCTCAACAGTTGCTCAGTAGCTCTTTCTTAGTATTGTCGCCGCTGGGTTCTGTGCTTTCTAGCAACCCACGTAAGCAAGAAAGTTTATTAGCTTAGATGTAGTACCAGATCTGTACAGATCTGCATGTGCGTTTACACAATGATACCCTTGCAATAGTGACTGCTTTGGAGGCCAGGACACTTGAGAGAACAATGCAAAGATAAGAGCTGAAGCGAAGAAATCTTGTGAGCCCTTCACTAGGTGCAGATGGAGCCAGTAGGACTATTTTTGTGTATGTACTGTGTCTCGCTGGGATGCAGTTAATTTTCTTCATGGTAGCTTGTACGGTGCAATGTTTTGGATTTGTGACCAGTCTTGATAACACATTAATGTTTTAGCTATTGCTGAACAGTGCTTGCTTAGTGTCAAGGCATTCTCCATTCCTCTGCCCCCTCAGCAAGTAGGCTGGGGCTGGAGAAGAGGCTAGAAGGGGACACAGCTGGGACACCTGACCTGAATTGACCGAAGATATACTGATATTCTATACCATAAAATGTCATGTGCAGCAATAAAACTGGGGGCAGTTTGCCAGGAGTTGTTGTTGCTTGGGGTCTGCCTGGGCATCAGTCAGCCTATGGTGAGGGATTGCTTTTGCATCACTTTTTTTTTTTTTGTGGGTTGTTTTGTTTTGTTTCCTTTCACTTATAAAAATGTCTTTATTTCCACTCACAAGTTTGCTCACCTTTGCCATTTGGATTATCTCCCCCCACCCCACTGCAGGGGGGCAGCAAGTGAACAGCTGTGGTGATGCTTAGCTGCCTAGGGTTAACGCACAACAGCATGGTACTTGTGAGTCTGGGAGCATAGTTCTGGGCCCTGAAGCTGGATCCATGTGGATCCAGCTCAAATACAAGTGGCCTAGTAGGTTTGTGAAACAACCTGTATTGTTCAGAGCCTGGTCAGTTGAATCATATCCTGGAGCTGTCAGGATTGGCTGTGGTATCCCTTCTTCCCACCACTATTAATGGATTATTAGTATTAAATTCTGCTACAGTGCATAGTTGAGTTGAACATTTCATGTTGTTCTCCCTCTTTCGTTTCTGAACGCAAAAATAATTATCTCTCATGAACTTAGTCCACTGCTATCTGGTGACTTAAGTATACGTGAATTTCTACTAACTGTGAAGCTGTGGTTGTTAGCTAATAATAATGAATTTTTTGAACTGTATGTGTGATTGTGTTATTCAGTGGATCAGTTTATAAGACAGTGGGATTCCACAAGCATAAATGGTTTGTAGTGTTAGGCCTTCACTTTAAATGTTAGATCTTTAAACATTAGAATTTAAAAATTTCATAAGACTTTAGTGCCTTTTATTCTGCAGAATGCATATCTAACTCAAGATATGCTACAGATACCATCTTTTGAAAGAGTAAATGATCTGTAGTTTCTTGAAGTGAGGGCTCTTCAAAGTAATTAACATTGGTTGATTGAAAATTGAGGCACCAAAACAACTAGTTCTTGAAAACTTCAGTACAAATTAAAAAAATATGTAAACTCAGTTTTCAATTTATCGTCAACTATCAAGACAGTTATAATATGATTATCAAGACTCTAACCAAATGGAATCTTCTCCTTTATATTAGGAGCCATCCTAATGTACATCGTTTCAGTGTGGAGACAGTCCAGTGGTATCCTCATGACACTGGCATGTTTACATCCAGCTCATTTGATAAAACTTTGAAAATATGGGATACAAATACTTTAGAGGTAAGAGAAAAATTGTACAGCTTGCAGACTTCTTTTGTTTACGTGTTATTCATTCCACATCTGCAGTTCACGCAGAGCTCGAGAGGACCAAGCATCCAGAAGGGTGAAAACCGGAAGTTTGTTAGAACTGTGGGTGCAGCAGAGGGTGGTGTAGTTCTGGCATTCTTGCATACCTTGGTGTGTACCTGTCTGTTTCTGAGGACCTGCATGTCTAAACTGTAAAAGAGCCTGGAACCCTTGGGACAATTCCTTTCTGCTTTTGCTGTGAAGAGGAGTACATCTAGTTTAATTTATGCTATGTGAACTTGTCCACTTGTCGGTCTTAGTAAAGAAGGCCTAAGTACTGCTTTTGAAGGACGGGTGGTCTTGGCATTCAGGGTCTTTAGGTCCAAAATTCTGCTGTTATAACTGCTGTAAACATCATTTATAAAAATTGGTGGAGAGAGAGAAACCATTATGAAAATGCTAACTGGTGTAACTGGCTTTATTAAAGTAAACAGTTGTGTAGCATTTTAGGTTACTTTGACCCACTAATTCTCACATCTAATTGTTGAACTATGAATTCTGGACTGCAGTTTATCCTGTTTCCAGTATGCATGTATCAATGTATTTACACTGGTGCTATTTGAATGTTGTTTCATGTATAGTGAAAGAATTTTAAAAAATAAGAGGTCTGTCATCCTAGGGACAGAATAGAGAATAAATTTTCACCTCTTTTTTTGTGAAATATGCAGCTGTGTTTGCAGTTACTAAATCTTGTAAATGCAAGGTTCAGTTCACTTTCAAGGTAATTCTGTGAGCATAATTTAAAAGACACAGTGTTCATGTGAAGGTTATTGATTGACCTGTTCTGCCAATGATTGGTGTATTTGAAAGCACAGATACCTTAGTTTTAAGGGGTTTTTTATATATACAATGTTTTAGAATGAGACAATGAAAGTACTGGTACCTGAGAGTAATTGTTAATTGTAATTATTAAAGCCAGTCTTGTATTTCATTAATTTTTAACACTTGCAAGGTAGCTAATAATTTTGGGTGGTGTGGTTTTTTATTGTTGGGGTTTTTTTGTTGTTTTTTTTTTTTTTTTTGAGCAATTGAAGATAGTATGTGAATGACAAAGGACTTGTAAATTTAGTCTCAGTAGCTTTTTCCTGTGGACTTTTGTGTCCATATTATAACTTTCTTGTTTGGTGTTTTTTTGTTGTTAGCTTTTGTATTTTTTGATATTTTTTAAATAACTTCCATTCATGCTTCTAATTAGACAGTTTTCTTGATCTTTCTTTTGGGTCATCTCTGAGCTCTGGCATATTTGTTCTAGTGTTGGAAACTGACTGACTTGGCAATGTTTGCATGATCTGTTTTCTAACCAGGAGAGTTATTGTTAGCGTGTAAACAGTAACATTTTTATCAGTCTCATTTGTAGCTCTTACTTGAAAAATACTTAACAATGAAGATTTGCATTCTGATAACATTCTGGTGTTGTGATTAATCTTTTTATTATCAGCTTGCAGATGTATTTCACTTTGAGGGAACAGTCTACAGCCATCACATGTCTCCGATTGCTACAAAGCATTGTTTAGTAGCAGGTATATATGTTTTTAAGAAACACTCTATGTATTTTGAGTTTATAGGAAAAGCAAGTAATATTCAGTAGGGTTTTTTTCCCTCCTCTGTCTTATTTATACATAATTTGAGTCTTCATAAGACATAAGGTCATTGGTAAAATAAAATCTTACTGGTTAGTTGGATGATGTCGATGAGAATATGACATTTGTTCTGAACTAATGCATCGATCAATTCTCCTTCTAGATAAAAATTCCTAGCTATAATTAGGTTACCTTTCAGTACATAAGTCAGCATTTGGAGGTTATGAGATCCAAACACAGTAAAATGTGTAAATAGGGGTGTGTGTGTATTGCTTACATGTAAACAATTTAACTATGTTTAGCAAAAGAAAAAATATTTAAAGAGGAGATATTTTTAATTTTTAAATTTCATAAGTACTATCCTGTTTACCCCCAGTTTCTAAATTTTGTTTGTTATATGGTAAATTTACTTGGACCAAAAATATAAATCTGTTAATAGACTACGTTACTCTGACTGAATGAACTCTTATGAAGCTAACGTTTTTCTTCTATTTCTTTGTCATTGCTAGGGTGTTTTTTTGTTGTTATTTTCTCAAATGCCATGGTGTTTTTAGCTGTCTTTGTATCTCTTGTTACAGTTGGTACCAAAAGCCCCAAAGTACAGCTCTGCGACTTGAAGTCTGGATCCTGTTCTCACATTCTGCAGGGTACTTTTTAGTCTGAAACATAAATGTTAAACAATAACTACTTTGAGTAAAACAAGTCCTGTAAAGAAACACTGTATACAATGTATTCTTTGTAAGTAACATGACTAACTTATTTATTGCCATTTGTGAAAGTTACACAGTGGCAAAAGGTTCTTGTGGATGTTGGTCTAGTGCTAATGATTAGAGAATAAAAATATTAATTAAAGAACAATTATTACAGATGTTTGGGCACTTTCATGATCTAATCCCTAGTGATTTCTGTTTATTACATGGTTCAGTGTAGGCATTGATTTTGTGTTTGTGGAAATTCAATATGAGTTGCTGCTTTTTTTTCAAAAAAAACCCAATCCCAGAACAGAAAAAAAACAACCACAAAAAAAAACCCACTTCACTATTTTTGGCAAAATATCCTGTGGAGGTGCTTGCAGGGGTTGGTTTAGAAGTTTCTGCATAACAGGCAAGATACTTGATATAGAAGGGTGGTATCTAATCCTTGGAATTTACCTAATTCGGTAAACCTAGGGGTTTATTGTTGTGCAATCCATTACTTTTTGCACTTAATGAGAGTTTGCCCTTAATGTCTCTTTTCTAATGTTTACTTTTTGGAGTATGAGTGAATATACACTTGCTCAAGTGAAGACAATTACAAGGTAAATCTGCATGCTTCAGACCAGCAGGGCAAGAGCTGAATCTGATCTAAAGCTGTAGGGAAGCATTAGGTCAGACACAGAAATGTACAAATGCAGCTCTATTTCTTCATTGGCCAGCTTAAGTCTAAAAACAGACTAGGTGCTTTCGTGTGATGCAGAATTTAAGCCATTAAGTTCTTCTGAACTGAATCAGCCACAATGGGCGTCTCAATGTTCTGTTTCTCAAACTGAGAGCACCAGAGAGTGCAGACACAAAAGTAGTTCTTTAGAGAATCAGTGTGGTTTCAGGAGGGCTTCTTAATTTTGACACAAGTTTGTGCTTTCCAAGGTGCAAGCTGGTTGTGTCTTTGTACACAGCCTGGTTCAGTTATGTGCAATATCAGAGGAACATGTGGAAGCAGATTGTGTCCTCCACTAAACATAATCTAATCATTCTTTAGAGAACTGGAAGCACTCAGTAGTGTCTTGAAAACAGGTATGAATATTTTTCACATAGGCTAACTCCAGCAGCTGAAAAGGAGTTAAATGCTTGGCTGTAGTTTGCTTAAAGGATCCAAATAAATGTGTCTGCCCTGACCCTTCCAATTCTATCCTGCAGTATGTGTGTTAGGGAGATTTTTTCCATTATCCTGGGTATCACAGCCCTTTGATTACTTCAGGCAATGGAAAACCAACTGCTAGAAGGGGTATGAGAAATAAGGTGGTTCACATAGCTCTAAACTGTATTAGTAAAAATGGATTTGTATAACTCAGTTTATTTTTTCAGCAGTGTGTTTCTATTATTACATGAAGCGTGATGGCAGTCTTTCCATTTAGGACACCCTACACTTCCTACTGTCTGAATTTGTCTAACATTTTTTAAACTTTACAAGTTTTAAAGTGTGTGTGCGTATATGTATATATATATGTATATGTATGTATTACTTGCCACTAAGCTGCACTGGAGATGACATTGCTAGGAAGACATTTATCTTAATATTTCAGACCTAATTAGGGAATAAAAATATCCCAAACTGACAACAAGAGTATTTGAGGATAAGCTGAATAAAATTTTAATCTGAAGTACATAAGGTAAATGTGCTTTTTATTAAGTATTTTGAAAGAATTTGAAGAAAAACAAATGGCAAGTTCCTTCTGTGTGTGGGAACACCAGTGCTCATACAAAATTTAATAACTACTTAAAGTAAACTCAGTAGTTGTAACTGTGCTATAATGTGTTTCCCATAGGTAAAACTATCCTTGTTATCAAAAGTTATACACATGTAATATTCCATGTGTCATTTCCAGATCACTACAATCCCAGTCAAGCAAGAGGAAGAAAGAAAAATAACCTTTAGCCCAAAATAATATATTTTCATAAAATTCAAATTTGTATTACAATTTAGATTTATTTTTCTGGATTGGTGGATCCTATAGAATTAAGTATTTGCTTTTACTTTTAGTTATTTACATAAACTTGTATGTATAAGTATTCTCCTAGGAAATCATATAAGCTTTTTCATATAATTTTTAGGCCACACGCAAGAAGTGCTGGCAGTGTCTTGGTCCCCACGTCACGAATATGTTTTGGCAACAGCAAGGTAAAGGTGTTGCTAAAATCTTATGTGCACTAAAAATATCTAATGGTAAAATTTAATATATTCATTATGCAAGTTTTTTACAATTCAAATGCACTTTTAAAGTTTCTTGTTTACTTTCACCTCTTCACAATTTTCTAGCTCTTGCCTGCAAAAACTAAGCCAGAAAAGCTATCTAAGTGATGCTTATTTTATAGGAAGATTGTACAGAATTTTGGAATAGTAATTGCATTTAAAGGTATAGGAAAATGATAGAGAATTATAGAGGTGCTTACTTCTTGCTGCGTGCACATTGCTAATCTGTTGTATAACAAAGCAGAACATGTTTAGCTCAAAGTATCATCCTGGTTAATCGTGCTCAATTATGTCAAAGAGCATAATGCAGGTAGCTTGGTGACGGGTAATAACTTTCCAGGCCGCAGTAATTCAGTGAGTATGGGTTGCGTGTTAATATTCCCAGGCCTTTTTTTTTTTTTAATTTCATTGCAGCCATTTTAAGTCTAAATGATCCTCTTGATTTTCCTGTAAATTTTGCATATGTTAGCTTTTGATTATAACGTGACAGTTCTCAGTTTCATGGTTGGCATGTTCTTTCTTTTGAACTGCAGGAGAGGCTGTTTTATAAGTTGACAGTGAAATTTGAATAAGTTGATACCAGAGTTGCATATCTTTGACTTCTCATGACACGCTTCTGAAAGGCTCAACATAGTTGGGAAATCTTCTGACAGTGTGATTAGTTTCTTTGTTTTAGCAAATGAAAAATTGTTTCCTTGTTTTTCCACCACAGAAATAGTAACAAATTTATTTATTAAATATTGACTTACTGAAGCCTCCCAAAACATTTTGCCTCAAAGTCATGTAACTTTAAACTGTATCTGCCTATGCCATCGTTTTGCCTTATGATAATTGCATGCTAAACATGTTTCTTATGACTCCATTACTTAATTCAGTGCTATAGTTGGACTACTAGCTCCTAATAACATAACTCAGTTTTGCCATCTGCTGAGACAAATTTGGGCAATAACTGGCAACACTGAGATAATGAAGAGGTATTGAGGAGAAACTGACTGCTATTGCTAAAAACAGAATCTGGGCTTATCAGGAGATGTGACTATTTGCTTGTGATCATTTCAGGGTAGGGAAAATATATTTTCAGGGTTTATGTGACTTGCATGTGAAACATGCTATTTTGAATTTCCCTATGTGGTGCTTGGCTCTTTCGTAGTTTTGTCAGGAAATTGGAATGGTCTGAGGAGAGGCAGGTTTTCTGGGTCTTCTTCACACATTTCAGTTTCAGGCACTAGAGAAGATTATAGGCTCATTAGAACTGGCGAGAAAAGATTAGCCAATAGAAACTGCATCATCAGAAGTGGACAGCTGTAGGCTTTTATAATAAGGAAGCCCTTTCCATGCCTTTGTTAAGGCATTCATTTCAATAAGCTGCCTGCAGTTTGTTGCTCACTTTACAGTCGGCTCAGACCTCAGCGATAATCTCTGTTTGTGGTCTTATTTGTTTGCAGCAAGATATAGTGTTGTCAGCATATTCAGTTGGAATAAGACTTGGAAGTTAACAGAATCAGTCCGTAGTGGAGGGGAGCACAAAAGAACAAACTAGTTACTAGCCTCGTCAGATGCGTAAGAGATAAGGAATAAGAGTTGACTTTGCTTTGGTCAGTTGGTGTACGTATACTATATATATTCCCAATATGAATGCACTGATCTAACTTGAGAACACACAGGAAAAAGTATGTAGTACTTCAAGTAGAAGACTGCTTGTCTAAGAAGCAGTTTTATTTGGTATATTTTCCAGCTGTAGATCAGAGAGATGCAGTTGGTTTTGTTTACCTGGGTTGAAAAATGATATATGTGTTTGGGTGTTTTTTTTCCTCCAAAAGGAGAGTTAAGCTGCTGGAAATGGTCCAAATAGTTTCAGTAAATACATCTACACTGGTGACTTAGTGGTGGGAAGTAGTCTTTTCTTTTAATTTATCTCCTATCTGTACCTGGGAGTCTTGTGGTGCGCATAGAAGTATGCTACTGGAATGCTCAAATCAAGCTACACATCAAGGTGCCATACAAAGTGCACTGCTTGCAATGTAGCTGTCTAAGCGTCTACCTAGTACCGACAGTTATCATAGCTCTTGTTGCTGGCAAAGACACAGCGTGAGCAAAGCATGACTTTGCAGCCTGGGAACCAGAATGAATCACAGCAGCCTGAACCTTCTTGGTCTTTCCCTCCTTGTGTCGCTCTGGTAATGTGGACAAAGCCAGTGAGTTTCTACAGAAGCAAGCTCTTGGTGTTTCTCTGCCATAGCACTGTATGACAACAGAACACATAGCCTGGACAGGTCTTTTTGTATGTAGCCAACTTGTGTACCACTCATACTGTAGGTCTGTGACAGCAAGAGCCTGAGGTCCCCAGACAACCATTACAGACAATGCTGGAGCCTGTAGCTACAGTTTAATCAACGGAAGAGTTAGCAAGTTTATTCCTGTCTGTCTAAGCAAGGGCGTTACATTGTAGACAAAGAGGGAAGTCTATTGTAGTGTAGACAAAGATTCAGTCTTAACTTAGGTGCCCGTAGTGTACCAGCTATATTTATGAATTCAGGTAAATGAGTGTCTGAAGCCTGTCTTAAAAATCTTTTAGTGAAGTTCTATTGGCTTAAATGTGACTGTATGATGAGTAGTTCATAGTAGTTGCTGGACCAGGGTGAGTGCCAGGTGGGTTGGCTAAACATAATTATCGAACCAGGGTGCACACACACAATTTCCCTAATGTATGCAAATCTGTTTTGCTTAGTGCTGACAGTAGAGTAAAATTATGGGATGTGAGGAGAGCATCTGGATGTCTGACTACACTTGATCAGCACAATGGAGAAAAGTCCAAAGCATCTTCTGAGGCAGGTAATACAGAATACAGCTGGTGGTTATCTATATGTAACTAGAAGCATTCTTATATTTCATAAATGTGTTGAATACTAGGACAAGCAAAGGAGAGTAGTGATAATCCCATTGTTACCTACTGCGTAACACAGGCCATTCAGATACTTCTGTTATAGAGACAGTGTTTGTGGTTGGGGATCTTGTTTAGAGAGATCTCCTTGGCAACAGTGTTGTATCTGTTCTAAATGTTTTTCCCCCTAAATTTACGGGGAAATTTTGCCATCCATTTTATGGGCAGAAGAATTCTTTCCTGTTGTAGATTAGGTTTCATATAAACAGCAACCATTTCATACTTCGTAAGTTGTTCCAGTAGTTAATTACCCTCCTTTAAAAACAAAGTCAACACAAACAAAAGCCACAAAAGCACATTCCTCTTCCTGTTGTTAGTTTTGCTTCCAGTGCAGGCCTCTAGAATGTTTTCTCAAATGTGGTGCCATAAAATCAGTTCTATTCCTTTTATGTTGCATAAAGTGTACAACACAGTATGAATTTATGATTGCATTTAATTTTACAGGAAGCTAAATTACACTCAGTACAGTCAAATGCATTAATCATCCTTTGCATCAGTTCTTATTAGCTACAACGTTAACATTTTTATGTATCTTAAGGTCACATCTCTGTACCTGAAAAAAAAACCAAACCTTAATTAAAGGGAAGCTTCTAAACTTGAAATTATGGTTCAAGAATTTTGGTCAATTCTGTACAAAAGATATTTATTTTTGGCAGGCCAAAAAAGTTCTTGGAATAGTCGCTGCTCTGAGGTAGAAATACACAGTGTTTAGAGTTGAATCACAAAGTAGAAACTGCGTATCAGGTCTCTGAACAAAGGGATTTGCATAGCGTAAATCATGCTCTGACTTTTTATATGCAAGTTAAATTGCATGTAGAAAAATAGATGCAAATCTCTGTAAAGTTGAACTCATTTTCTAAAATGTACAGTTAGAGAATATGAAGTAGCAGTAGGTATCCAAACCATGCTCTCTGCTATGTCAATTGTAGTATGGTAATATAGAAGTTTGGTTTTGACAATTTTAAATTTGATTGAAATTCAAGAAATCACTGAGATGAAGGTGCTCTAAAGAAATCTAAGACTTACAAAAAAAAGAAAAATTTGTACAAATTTTCTTCTACAAAAAATTGAATTCTATGTAACTCCTAAGATAACTAGTGCCATTTTATATATTCCTTTGAATGACATGTCTTATTCAAATGCAACAATTTTCTTTTCAACTTTATTTCTCTGACAGGTTCAAGGTGATTTTTTGATAATCTAATGGCAATCAGACTAGGATATTAAATATATTGAAATATAGTTGAACTAAACCAAATGCAGCTAAATTTTTTTTATAAAATATTTGAAAAACAGATAACACTTTTTACCTAAGGTATCTCTAAGTTATGTACGGAGGTATAATGCAGAGTTACCTTATCCGGTTTTCAGTGAGTTAATTTATGAGCACCATAGTTAGGATTGCTGTGGTAGCACTGAGTTGGATTTCAACCACTTTAACATACTTAAGAATGTACAGTATTGCAGGGTGAATTCAATGGAATTTGTTTGAAGTACTATATTATAAACAATATAGAATAGGATACAATAGAATATTCAGTTGCAAGGGACCTACAGTGATCATCTAGTCCAACTGCCTGACCACTGCAGGGCTGACCAAACGCTAAAGCATGGTATTAAGGGATTGTCCAAATGCTTCTTCAACACTGACAGGCTTGGAGCATCGACCACCTCTCTGGGAAACCTGTTTAAGTGTTTGACCACCCTCTCAGTAAATAAAATGCTTTCTAATGTCCAGTCTAAACCTTCCCTGGCACAGCTTTGAACCATTCCCATGTGTCCTACCACTGGATACCAGTGAGAAGAGCTCAGCACCTCCCTCTCCACTTTCCCTCTTCAGAAAGCTGTAGAAGGCAAGGAGATCACCCCTCAGCCTCCTTCTCTCCAAACTAGACAAACGCAATGTCCTTCGCCACTCCTCACAGGACATTCCTTCCAGCCCTTTCACCACCTATGTCGCCCTCCTCTCGCCTCATTCAAGGACCTTCACATCCTCCTTAAATTGTGGGGCCCAGAATTGCCCACAGTACTCAAGGTGAGGCCACACCAGCACTGAATACAGCAGGATAATCACCTGGCGGCTGGTTATACTGTGTTTGATGCACCCCAGGATCTGAGTTGCCCTCTGGGCTGCCAGGGCACACTGCTGGCTCACACTGAGCTTAGGGTCAAACCAGCACGCCCAGATCCCTTTCTGCAGGGCTGCTTCTTCTTTTATACTTGTGCCCAGCATTACTCTGTCCCAGGTGCAGAATCTGGCATTTGTTCTTGTTAAATTTCATCCCATTAATCATTGTCCAGTCCTCCAATCTATCTAGATCCCTCTGCAAGACCTCTCGTCCCTCAAGAGAGTCAGCAGCACCTCCCAGTTTGGTGTTATCGGCAAACTTGCTAATAGTGCATTCACCTCCTGCATCCACATCACTGATAAATACATTGAACAGAACTGGCCGTAGAATTGAGCCCCAAGGAACACCATTGGTGATCGGTCACCAGCCGGATGCTTAGAAACCAGGGCTTAAATTATTAATTTGATATGTTACCATTTAAACAGCACTTTCAGTACTATAGATTGAAATAAAAATGTGCAGACAAAATAGTAATACTTGTAGAAATCTAAACCAGCTCTTTTTCCTGACAGTAAGCACTGCTCATAATGGGAGAGTAAATGGTTTATGCTATACAAATGATGGACTTCATTTGTTGACTATTGGTACAGATGATCGGATGCGACTCTGGAACAGCTCCACTGGAGAAAACACATTGGTAAGTTTTCAGGGATCTTCAGTTATGTTTTTACTTGCATTTAATTTTAGGAGATTTATAATTTGTGCAATTGTCATTACCAGTTTGGATAGTTATTCACTTTTATAACGATATAGGTGCTCATTAGAAGATTTTTGTGAGCAAATTTTTTCCAAATTTCTTTTCTTATTTCTACTTATCATAAAAAACTCAAGAGTATGAAGAAGACTGGATCTACTTAAAGATTGAATATGGTAACTTTAAATTCATTAATTTGTGAGCATAGCTGAAAACACTTCAGACAGTAATGAAAAACCTGAATATGCAGTGACTGTTGGTAGAATTTTTTTTTTTTTTTAACTGAGTTGTCAGTGTGCTATCCACAGGGCAGTTTTCCATACCTGAGAGTTTCAGTGATTAACTGCCTGGCTTTCTTGCAACTTTCTCAGTGGTTTTACGGAATCTTACTTGTGGGGTTGTATACTAGTGTTAAAAATATCTGTCCCTCTACATTTGCCTTGCAACCAAATGGGGAAGGCAGAAATTAAACTTCAGCTGCTGCTCTAGTCCTTTCTATGGCTTGCTTTTTTGATGAAGGTTACTGTTTTAATTTTCTGTTCAGTAAAGAAGATTGTTTCCTATGTTTATTTTGAAAGAAGGACATAGTAGGTCAGTCAGTTTCAGTGGAATTTTAGCAAGTCATGATTATGGTCTGTCATTGCTATCAGGAAAGGAAAAAAATTTACTCTGCCTTAGAAATCTTTGACTTCTGCTGCTTAGGTTCAGAACACAGCAAAAATAATTCCTTATAGACATTTAAATGAAATGACTTTTCTATTTCCACATGACCCGTATTTGCCAGCTTATTCTCAGGACTTCATATACAGACAACTTTCCATCCTCAAATCACCATCACCAAAGTATATAATACAGTTTGTTCACTCTCCTGTCACCAGCTGGATCACTGTTTTTTGTTTTTCTGTGCCTGTTCATTTACTTGTTTCATAGGATATTTTACAGTTTTTGTATTTGGTGTCGAATAGCTTGATCCTGTCTTGCTTTTTCAAGTCCAGAATTATATTATCCAGAGTACTGTATATTCACACACTGACCAGAGATATTGCTTAAAATAATTTCAAGGCACCAGCAGACAAATGCATGCATGTAGAGGTAATACAAGTTCACATCATTGTCCCTTTATTTCTCCTACTAGTGAGTCCTTTGGATCTCCATTTTTTTTCTATACCTTTGAAAAGGTATAGAAATTAAGCCATGCATATGAATTTTTTGGAGCAATGAGACAAATTTGTGGCCTAGTGGATTGTTTCAGTTAGAAAGAGAAATGAATGTTGGAGCAGTACACATCTTGCATACATCCTTTATCACAAAAAGGAATAGCAAGTCCTGATTCACTGAGTATAGGAAAAATCAAACAGAAGGAAACAGGTTTTCTGTTTCTCTGTGTGCTCAAAGGAAAAAAGCCAGTTTTGAAGATCTTTCTTCTGTTCTTGTTTTGGTAGCATCCTTTCCTTTCCATTGCTCCTTTATCAAGCAGGAACACTTACAGTGAGTATATCCATGTTAATTTACTTTTCTCAGCCTCCACTCCTACCTTTCAATGTACATGCCTTTGTTATGAGCACTGTTGTGGCTTGGGAATTGTTACTGCTACAGCTGTTACTGTACATGCTGTGTAAAATAGTTTAATTGCTCTTTATCAGCATATCAGCTGTGTGGTGCAGTCGACACGCTGGAGGGAAGGGATGCCATCCAGAGGGACCTGAACAGGCTGGAGAGGTGGGCCCATGCCAACCTCATGAAGTTCAACAAAGCCAAAAGCAAGGTCTTGCACATGGGTCAAGGCAATCCCAAGCACAAATACAGGCTGGGCAGAGAATAGGCTGAGAACAGCTCTGAGTAGGACTTGGGGGTGTCAGTAGATGAAACTGAACATGAGCTGGCAGTGGGTGCTCGTAGCCCAGAAGGCCAGCCGTGTCCCGGGCTGCATCAAGAGGAGCATGGCCGGGTGATTCTGCCCCTCTACTCTGCTCTCGTGAGGCCCCACCTGGAGTACTGTGTCCAGTTCTGGGCCCCCCAATGCAACAAGGACGTTGAGCTGTTGGAGCAGGTCCAGAGGGGGGGCCATGAAGATGGTGAGAGGGCTGGAGCACCTCCCCTGTGAGGACAGGCTGAGAGATTTGGGGTTGTTCAGCCTGGAGAAGAGAAGGCTCCAGGGAGACCTTAGAGCAGCCTTCCAGTACCTGAAGGGGGCCTACAGGAGAGATGGGGAGGGGCTTTTTACAAGGGCATGTAGCAATAGGATGAGGGGTAATGGATTTAAACTGGAAGAGGGCAGATTTAGACTAGATATTAGGAAGAAATTCTTTACTGTAATGGTGGTGAGACTCTGGAACAGGTTGCCCAAAGAAGTTATGGATGCCCCATCCCTAGATGTGTTCAGGGCAAGGCTGGATAAGGCTTTGAGCAAGTCCAGTGGGAGGTGTCCCTCCCCATGGCAGGGGAGGTTGGAACTAGATGATCTCTAAGGTCGTATCCAAGACAAACCATTCTATGATTCATTGCCCAGCCTGTATTGATACTGGGGGTTGCCCTGACCCATGTGCAGGACACCTTGTATTCGACATTGTTGAACCTCATGAGGTTAACATGGGCCCACCTCTCAAGCCTGTCAAGGTCCCTCTGGGTGGCACCCCTTCCTTACAGCATGTCGACCACACCACACAGCTTGGTGTCATCGGCAAACTTGCTGAGGTTGCACTCGATCCCACTGTCCATGTGGCCGACAAAGATGTTAAATAGCACTGGTCCCAGTACCAATCCCTGAGGAACGCCACCTGTCACTGGTCTCCGTTTGGACATTGAGCCATTGACTGCAACTCTGAGTGCAACCATCCAGCCAATTCCTTATCCAGCAGGTGGTCCATCCATCAAATCCATATTTTTCCAATTTGGTCACCAGGATAGGTGGAGTGAAAGGATTGATAACAGCTCTGAGGAAAAGGACTTAGGGATACTAGTGGTTGAAAAGCTGGACATGACTCGGCAATGTGCCCTCACAGCCCAGAAAGCTAACCGTGTCCTGGGCTGCATCAAAATAAGTGTGACCAGCAGGTCAAGAGAGGTGATTCTCCCCCTCTGCTCTCATCAGACCCCACCTGGAGTACTGCATCCAGCTCTGTAGTCTTCAGCACAGGAAAGACATGGTCCTGTTGGAGCAGGTCCAGAGGAGGGCCACAAAACTGATCAGATGGAAGGAGCACCTCTCCTATGAGGACAGGTTGAGTTTGTTCAGCCTGGAGAAGAGAAGGCTCCAGGGAGACCTTATAGCAGTCTTTCAGTGCTTAAAGGGGGCTTCTAAGGAAGATGGGGACAGAAGTGATAGGACAAGGAGTAATGGTTTTAAACTAAAAGAGGGTAGATTTGGAATAGATATTAAGAAGAAATTTTTTACAATCAGGGTGTTGAAACACTGGAGCGGGTTGCTGAGAGAGGTGATAGATGCCCTATCCTTGGAAACATTCAACGTCAGGTTGGATGGGACTCTGAGCGACCTCATCTAGTTGAAGAAGTCCCTGCTTATTGCGGGGACTTTGGACTAGCTGACCTTACAAGATCCCTCCCAACCCAAACTATTCTACGATTCTATGATTTATAGCTGAATGCTTTTGTGCATAAGGAGTTCTTTTAGCAGTTTCCATATCTAAGAGAAAATTATTTTGTTGGATCATCTAGGAAAATGTTCAAGGGGGTAATTCCTGACCCAGTTCTAACTTCAGTGATAGTTTAAGTGCTCAGTGTAGATCTGGCATGCGACAGCCTGTGCAAATTCTGTTTCTGAGTGTGGAACTGCTGACTTTTAGGCATATTTTTCTTTCCATGTCTTAAATTTTATATTGAGGAGTGTGAACTTTAATGGACAGAAGAATGGTTCTCTTGATAGATATCTGTAATTGGAAATCTCAAGAGTTGTATCAACATTGAGAAGCTTAAAATGAATTTTATTGGGTATTAAAGAAGAAATTAAATTGACCTTTTGATGTAAAGTTATTTCCTGTAGTTTTACTTAAAAGCTAAATGCATAATCCTTCATTTTACAGGTCAATTATGGGAAAGTCTGTAATGCAAGTAGAAAAGGACTCAAATTCACCATCTCTTATGGCTGTAATCCAGAGTTTGCCTTTGTGCCGTATGGTAGTGCCATTGCTGTTTATGCAATTTTCAAAGGAGAACTGATAACTATGCTTAAAGGGCATTATAGTACTGTCAACTGCTGTGTATTTCAGCCTAATTTTCAGGTAAGTGAAGTACAAACAATATTCCAGACAGTCTGGAATATTTATGCAGATTGCCAAACCATTTGCACAAAAGTGTTAACTTTTCAGGTATGTGCTTGACGTAAGAGGGAGTTCTGTGGCCTATGTGTCAAGCAAGAAAAGTTGGGTCAAGTTCTTGGGACGGCTCCTATGTTGGGTTCCTTCAGCTATTTGTTTTGTTTCACATAGATAATTTTTTAATACACCTATAATAATTTTTGACTTATATTGTCACTAATAAATCATATGAATTGAGGCTTTTGCCTGTTTTCTGTAAGACTGAAGAGGAGGCATTGGTCTTTTTCTGAAATACCTAAAACTAATCACAGTAAGAAAAAATGCAAAGGGCATTTAGGTGAAGTGCATTAGTGTTGCTATCAGAACTGAGAAACCTCTCAAGTACTTTGGTACAGTGATCTTGCTCAAATGCCTGTGGTTATACCAGTCACTGGATCTATGAGCAGTTTGGATGATGTGTGACAACATGATGGGCTTCTTAAATTAATCTGAGAACATTTCACCTAAGAAATACCATATCATTAGAGGGACTCATGGTGTTGACAGCTATTTTTTCTTTTCCTCTCCCCCTATGGTATATTTTTCTCTTGTAATAAAAGACTTAAGGATAACAAAGCTTAATTTGTTATGAGATACTTTACAACAGAGTGTTCTTACGGCTTGTGGTGTGGCAAGAACAGATTCGATCTTAGGTTAGATTTTAAGGCGGTTACAATCTTTAACACCTGAGGGAAACTAGGTACTTCATGTTCCAGCTCCTCTTTTTTTTTGTTTTTTTTTTTTTGTTTTGTTTTGTTTTGTTTTGTTTTGTTTTGTTTCTGGAATATCAGGCATAAATATTTGAGGCAGAAATGGCATGTGGATATCTTTTTGTGACCTCTCATAAAATACATGGCATGAATAGGCAGTGAGATACTAGATCCACTGAAAGGTGGAATATTCGTGTTATAGGTAAGGCACATCTTTTCTGGACTGTTCTTGACTAGCTTAAAAAGCCCTTCGTTTTTAAGAATAGTTTCCCAACCAGAGTGCTAGTGGCTTTATATTAAGTTATCTTTGGTGTTCTTTTTGATAAGCTGAAGAAGTGAGGTTCATTAAATCTCACTGTAAATCATGTTTTCTAGCTCTGGAAGTGCATATGTCTATAGTGTCTTTATCTTGGCTTTTAAGATCCTTAGGAAAAGATCACTCATGTGTGAGCATGCACACAAGAACTGCATCAGTCACTATAACTGTAGGTTTATGTTGGCAACGCTTCATTTGTTTATCTGTTGAGATTCCTTATTCTGTTTCAGAATCATCCTTCTCCAGCATTCTGTTCTATATTCTAGAAGTGTGACTGGATTTTCTTTTTCTTTAAATCCTTTCCTTCTAATTGTATTAAATTGTTACTTTGACGGAATAATATTACCATAGTAAGTGTGTCTACACCGAAGGTAGTGGTAGTGTTATTTTGACTGTTTGTCTTCACATCTATACTTCCAAATAGTTCATTCTGTCTTGAGACAATTAACTACATTTGTCAGTCTTCATATAATTCTGACAGAAATTATGATTTCTCAGTTAAAACTCATTTTCTAATAATGCAGTAATTTGTAAAATTTATAGTGACCTGTTTTATTTTATTCTTGCAAGCAATAATAAGTCAAATTAAGTTATTCACAGCTGTGCAATTCTGTTTTCAGTTACTAGTTGTAAATAAAATGTTGTGCTTAAAAAAATCCGCTTTGTTGCAAACTGTGTTGATTGATATTGTTTATATTCCTATATCTTAACTCAGCAGTAACTGAATTGTTAAATCACCTTTTTTGTTGCCTTGTTTAGGATTTTAGAAATGTCAGTTAGTTCATTTATATCTGTATCATTCCACTTTTTTCTTTTTTTTTTTCCTGAATGGCATATTAGCTCACTTTCAGATTGTAGTATTTAGTACGTATTAAAATATAATTAACTTAACCAAGCCAGAAGTTTTTTTAGACAACGCTTCTAAGTCTCTCTGATATGTTATGCATCTACCAATGAATCATGTAGCAGATGGCTTTCTAACATTTTTCTTACTTGTTAGCGCATTTGAAATTAGTACACTGTCTTCATATGAAACCAGGTCTACATCTTTTCTGCATAGTTTCTACCATTCCCATCTAATAGTGAGTCTCTGCTGTTGTTAAGAGTTTTCTTCATATAAATAGTTTTCTAAATTTTTAAATGTTTTCTTCTGTCTTGAACCCTGTTGAGTGATTTTTATCCTACCCACCTCCAAGTCTGGTCCTTAAATTTTCTTCCTATTTTTTTCTATGTTCCAAACTTCTGATTGATATTCGTTGCTGCCAGTCCCTCACATTCTTTTTGTTCATTAACTGTATTTTAATCACTACCTTTGTTTCACATCATAACTCGTATAGGCTCTAAAAGGCACTTTAACTTTGCACCAATTATGTATTTTAGTCAAGAAGTGTCTTCTGTTTCCTTAGAACCATATAATCAAATATGATCACTGATGCCCAATAACTAGCTATTTGCAATCCAGTGATATTACTCTCTAAGTGTTCTTATGAGGTACAAATTAATTAGCAGGTTTGTGTCTGAGATATTGTATGGAGCTGTCTGCACAAAGTGCTGTGAGATTTAGTTAATGTGTGTATGTATGCCTTTTGAGATCCTGGGAATAGAGCCATAAAGTCCACTATATTATTGTTGGCCTAAATTGTTCTTACGTAAATATCTCTCTAAAGTTAGTAAGATGTTAGTCTGCTTGAGTAATAAGAACTGCAGAATTTGGCCCTTTAATAAAGAGCCATAAATTTAAGAGGAGGTTGGGAATTTCAAGGGTGGTGTGGAGGAGGAAATGTTTGTTCAGTCTCTTAGGGGATATTTACTGTTGAAACTAATGTGCTAGATACCATTGTGCCATCTTAGCTGCTTAAAATAATTTTAAGTAAACAAACAAGACCTGAGTTCCCCTTTTACCCCAAAAAAGAAATGGAGTAAAGTATTATGCAGGAATAACCTGTCGTAAAATATTAGGTATGCGTCAGCAAACAATTTTGCTTTAAATTATAGGTGCTTCTATTGTTCAAGAAATGCCAGTGACATTTGCAAAGATGTTTGGCAAATGCAGTGGTAGGCTAATAAGTAAGATAATTGAAGGTTAAGTTAGGTTTTATTTGCAATCTTTCCTCAGAGTCTTAAAGCATAATATTTCCATATTTTGTACTAAAAACATGCATGAAGCATGTTTTTAGTACAATATATGTTTGTGTCCTATACTGAACCATAAACGTGCATGGAGCTCACTAGCTCTGCTTTTGGCTGATTTAAGGTATGAGTCACCATTTCAGATTGTTATAATTACTTGTAGGTATTACTCAATGTAGTGGATATTAACTGAAGATCTTGCAATGCCACAATCAGAGTGAGACAAGTGATAATAAAGATTAAATGGAAGTATGCTGATGTTACTATGACATTGCTCACAAGGAGAGATTTTTGGCATGGGAAGAGGTTTTAAAGTTCTAGTGATATTCTGTATCCTGTCAAAGACAGGAGGCCCAAGTAGAATACTACTGACAGGATAAAGTGGGATTTGACTTATACCTTGATGTAACTTCGATCTCTCTTCTTTGAAGCAAGATAAGTAGGATGTTTCTCTCTCATAAAATTATAAATTCTAATCTTGCATGTGTCGTATGCATGAATAACAATGCATGGGACCAGTGTTACAAAAGTATGTTGGCTCTCTTCAATAAGATTGCTTGTGTACGTGGGCAATAGGAGTTAGGCATTAAGTTCCTGCACCAACTGTCAACATAATTCATGCGGTTCTACAATTAAATATACATAGTATAGGAGGCTTTCTACAAAGACAGAACTGTAATAATTTATTTAACTTATGTTGAATTAATGTATTAATAGTGTGCACATATGCACAGAGTTGCTAGTTTAAGTCTAAAAGCCAACACGTTTAAAGCAAGGCTTTCATGTTGTGTTTCACTCGGGCAGTTTAAACTCACAGCAATACACAGGTGTTGTCAGACGTGGCATATAAGTTGCAGCAGTATGATTCAAGATGGAAGGCGTATGAGAATATTTTCCTGTGTTAATTTAAGTACCACTTTGGAAAATAGAAGCCTTCTTAGTGCAAAATTTACTGCAAAGATTGTGCAGTGTTTCTCCTTAGCAGAATTTCCTCAGTTTAAAGTGACAGAGAAGTCTGTATTTCCTTTAATAAAGAACTAAGAAAACTAAGCTGTATTTGGCTCTCAGCTGTTTGGTGTAGAGACTGTTTACTTCCATGTGTTTGCAGGGTGCCTTGCACAATGGGATCTCAGTCCTTAGTCATTACCATAATAAACAGAATTATTTGTATTAAAAATAATAAATTTGTCTTTCTGATCTCTGCCTTCCCAACAGGATGAAGGCTTCAAATTGTTCTTTATTTGTTCTTTTCCTTCCCTAGGCATACTGAAACTACGTTTATTTAATACTGCTTTGTTCCATACTTATGCACTCTTCTAACATGTATTACTACATGCTTTTGAGTTGATTCATATTTTGTAATTATAATTAAAAAATCTTTTTATTTTTTCCCCCTTACTTCTCCATTGAACATAAATAATCTCTTAAACTTCCTAACTGTTAAAATAAGTGTCTTTCTGGAAGCCAGGGGAGAGAGAAGAAAAGTGCATTTAAGCAATAAAGTTCATTTAAATACGGGTATGGTGAGCACTCTGGGGAAACTATAAAAACTTATTGGTATTGTTTAGGCAAACCATTTAAAATACTGTTTATCAAGATTATAGTACAAATTAGAAATTGTATATTTGTCTTAATTTTAAGTAAATATTTCATAATTTTTTTCCCCAACATTATATCTGTGCAACAGTTCAGTAAATTTGTGTAAAAATAATTTTTGTTTGCTTTCTTGAAGGAACTTTATAGTTGTTGCAAAGCTTGCAATATCCTTGCGTGGATACCAGCTCTTCGAGAGCCAGTTCCTGATGACGTTTCTGAAAAGGTAGTGAATTTTTGAGTTTGAACTGTACTTTTTATGACTGTTACACTGGGGGAGTGGGATTGAAATTAAATATTAATTGTGTGTTTCACCATCAAAATTTGTAACAATTCCTAATTAAGAGGAGAATCACCTATGGTTTCTTTGCAATCTTTTGATTGTTGTGGGGTTTCAAGAGGACATTTTATTTTATAGTCTAGTAAAACCTTTTGCAGACTTCTAGCTCCTCACTTAATTAGAAGTAGTACTTGTCATTTGGCTATCTGTCTTTCAACTTCTACCTTAGCTTCCTTAATTTCCATACTGTTTTCTGTAGTTTACGCTATTTTGGAATTTGAAGGTTGCCAAAGATTGTATTTTAAATTATTTAAGAATATACTGTGTATTAAACAGTAATATTAAGGATGCCACACTTCTCTATCAAAAATATTTGGGTATGAAACATAATAAAGAATATTCTAAATGAGCTTATTTTATTGTCTGAGGCAAGATGTTCAGGCTATTGCAGAGAAGATCTTACGTGACACTGTTTTCCAAGAGAGTATCTTCCCTCTCTTAGTACTAGAGCTGGGCAATAAAAATTTCAGTGAACAGTTTGAGGCAGAAAAATTCTAGATTTTAAGGAACTGAAACCATTCACAGAAACAGTATCCAGCAGACTGTACTAATGTTAAAAAATCAGAATATATTAATGTTTTGGCTCATAGCATATAAGAATTACACTTTTTAAACTTTCTGAAATATTCCGTTTTGGATGAGGAAGTGATAAGAAACAAATTTTTGTAACATCTGCTTTGCTTTGCAAGACAACTTATTTCAAAACTATCCTACTCTTAAGCAAAGAAGCAAAAAGTAGCTTCAAAGGTTGGATACCCTAAACCCAAAATATTTTCAGCTGACCCAAAACGAACATTCCAATGAGAATTTTTATACGTGTGAATTGTTTTTTCTTAGTCTGAAAAACAAAACCAAACACACAGCAGCAAAGATTCTTTACCCAGCTCTGATTAGAACTCCTCCTTTAAATTTGACATGCTGGAGGTATGTAATATGTGCAATTGTTTTGAAATCTGTTAAGCTACAGCTGCTGTTTGCAAATGTCATAGATGAGCACTGCCTCTGAAAGAAGCAGTTCTGCTGTCCACAAGGCCACTGGTTCCTGCTCCCTCTCATGTGCTTGAACAGCCATTTGCATGCCTGTATGAGCAGAATCTGAACCCAGGATAGAAGTAAGCAAGAAAAAAAATTTACCCCAAGTCAAAACTGTGATTCAGTGCACTGTGTAGCTGCACAAACTCTTTAGCTTGACCCTAGGGGGGCTGAAGTGAGAAACAGTTGTTGGATGCGGATAGAGCCCAGTACTACTTCTTGAGACAGTAGTGCTCAGTTATGCTGGGCCAGGGAAATTATTACTTAAAACCAGTGACACGAAAGAAATGCGGTAGTATCTGTCTGTTATATTTTATGCAAGACATTTGTGAAACTTCTAGTCAGTGCTCCAGATATTTTTTTTGTTGAAATTGAAATTACAGTACTATTTAATTGCGTAGTTTATCCTGTCTCTAGTCAGCAAAAATGACAAATAAGTTGTTAAAAAAAATTCAGTACCCATGAGAGACACAATAGTTTGTCTATATATAGCAATTTAAGAAATACGTTTAGCACTGTCCTTATTTGATTTTAGTATTTTTAATTAAGCAAACCACTGAGAGAATTTTTATTTTCTTTAGTCCCTGCCTCAACAGTATTTAAATCCAGCATATGAAGACGCATGGAGCAGCAGTGATAATGAAGGCTGAGTCTCAATTATGTGTTGACATCAAATTGATATTCAGGCACTGCATTCACGGACTTTATCTACAGAATTGGATATTGTTGGGTTTATTACAACTGTGTTTTTCGTACAGTTCTGTTAGAACGAAGTCTTTCAGAAATAAGTTTCCACTGTTGTCTGTGTTCCTTCTTGTTACAGTTAAATCTAAAGGATTAGTTTTTCACACTTATTTTTACAATTACCCTTGTGCACTGGTATACATTCAGTGTTGAACAGCTGATAAAAGAAAAATAAAAGCCTTTGGGACCACTAATATTGCATTGTTTCTGGTATCACTAATACCTAAGGAGGTAATCCATTTGTTTCCAAGAGACATGATACAGAGGTTTTTGCCTGAAGGAGGACTAGCTCAGGGATACTTCCAGCTTATTTTTATCAAGGTCTAAATGGAGCAGACTGCATCCATTTTCAAGTTGTTCTGTGCTGTGGGAGTCAAGAGGATCTTGTTCCTGTTTTTTTGCATTTTCAGTTTTGCAGAAGTTGCTCCATAAATGCAGTATTCAGTTCAGAAAGACGTACATCTAGGATCATTTATTCAAGTTTTTATGTGGTTTATTACATCAACTAGTATCTGAATCTGTCTCGGAAAGTTAAGAATAGAAACTAGTTTAATTAGAGTTTTTGTTGCTTCTGTAAGCAGGTTTTTAAAATCAGTCTTCTATGTATGAATCTCTTACACTTCCCTAGCCAGGATGAAGAATGCCTGGATAGAAACAGGCTTGAGGTACGGTACAGAGCGTGGATCACATTTCAAGTTAGAAATATCAATGTAGTCCTTCAAAACTGTTTTCATCTGAATTTTTGTAGCCCTAATATCTACTCTGTTTTGAAAGGGAGGAGCTTCGTGGGGTTATTGTTTCATCTCAATCACTAGTTTGTGCTTCAGACATAGTGTAGTCGCCAATCTGAAAACTGAGTTAGGGGTTTCCATCAGATGTAGATGCAGCTCTGTAGAGAAAAATTCCTTCCAAAACAGAGCAGATATTAGGACCACAAATTCAGACGAAAAGAAAAAAATATTGTATAAATAATAAAAGATAATAGCTTAATCTTTGTATAGTGTGTATTATTTCTATGATTGGTATGCATTTTAGAATTTATTCACTGTGCTTCCATATTGTAATATCTGTAGAAGATACAGGCTGTCAGTTTCTGTATCAGTCTAGAGTCTAGCATTGTAAAGTGATACAAGGTGAGGACTGGGCATATCAAGAGAATGTTGTAGTTAAACAAGCTTCATATGTAGTGCATGTTTGCTGGGAGAGACACAAAATTTAGTTTTGCACTATTAAGTGGATAGCTGCAGGGTGGAAGTCTTCCAGAAGTTTCGGCTGTCACTTTAAAAGAATAGAGAAGAGAATTTTCTGTTTTTTCAAATGGTAGTTTTCATTAACAGTGGTGGCTGTTCCCTCTAAAGTTGGAAGAACTGGGGAACAAATTTGAAGAAAGGTTACAGATTTTGATTTTTGTCTTGAAGAGGATGACTTTTTTGGGTGTTATAATTGTGCATATCATTTGTATATGCCAACTGCAGTACATATATTTGGTATTTGAATTTCTAAAAATGTGCTCAGTTAATCATAGCTAGTTATCAAAGAATGTATGCATTATTTTTTTTCAATCAGTTTACAGTTAACTTGTAACATGACTATAAAGGGTACTGATTTTAAAACAAACAAAAAACCCCACTGGCTCTATGGGGGACTGAGAATGTTATATAAAATGGTAGAGGTAGAAAACTTACATTTATTTAAAAATGTGAGAAATCATAAAAAACTAAACCCACAAATAAGAATGTTGCATTAATTCTCCTGGTTTTTGGAATGGCTTTTCTCAACTGAGTTCCCTTTCCTGTGCTTTGAGTACACAATTATTGAGACTGGAATGGACCACTGGAGATAATCTAGTCCAACATCCCTGCTGAAAACAGTCACCTAATGCAGGTTGCTCAGGCTTGTGTCCAGATGGGCTTTGAGCATCTCTACAACTACAAACCTCTTCCAGTGTTTGAGCATTCTTAGAGTAAAACTTTCTTCTTAGGTTTAAATGGAGTTTTCTGTATTTCAATTTTCACCCATTGCATCTTGCCCCATTATTGGATACCATTGAGAAGAGTCTGTCTTCCCCATTTTTACTGTCCCCTTCCCTGGCTCTGTCAGATATTGGTGAGATCCTCCTGAACTTTTCTTCTCCAGAAGGATTGCCTCCCTTAGCCTACTGACAGTACTCTTCCTAATGCAACCCAGGACACTGTTGACCTTCTTTGCTGCAGGAGCACATTGCTGGCTTATGGTCATCTTAATGTCCACCAGAAGGGAAGGAATTTCTTCCTAATATGTAGTCTAAATCTACCCTCTTCCAGTTTAAATCCATTACCCCTCCTCCTGTCACTGCATGCCCTTGTAAAAAGCCCTTCCCCATCTCTCCTGTAGGCCCCCTGCAGGTACTGGAAGCTGCTCTAAGGTCCCCCCAGAGGCTTCTCTTCTCCAGGCTGCACACCCCCAACTCTCTCAGCCTGTCCTCACCTCCCCCCCCCCCCCCCCCCCCCCCCGGACCTTCCTCCTTGAAAACAAGGGTGACCTTGGCTCCCTGTCCTCAGAAACCTCTCCTGCTTACTGTGACGTTCCAATATAATAGAGAGTGGTCTTGCAATGACATTAGCCAGTTGTGGCCGCATCCAGTCAAGCACCATGGACTTGCACGTGTCCAGTTTGTGTAAGTGTTCCCTATGTGATCCTTCTCCACCAAGGGTATGCGTTCCTTAGTCTAGACTTTCTGATAGTCTCAGGGACCTGGGGTTGCTGAAGTCCAGCTTACCACTAAAGACCATGGCAAAGAAGCATTGAATACCTCAGCCTTTTCCATGTCCTCTGTCTCCAGTTCCTGTGCCCCATTTAGCAGTGGGTCCACATGTTCCCTAGTCTTCCTTTTGCTGCTGATAAACCTGTAGGTTTTAGGTTTTTGTATTCCTCACCAGATTTAACTCCAGGTGGGTTTTGGCTTTCCTAGACCAATCTGTGCATGCTAAGACAGTTTTTCAATATTCTTCCCTGCTTCCACCTCTTGCATGCTTCCTATTTTCATCTTGAGTTTTGTCAGGAGCTCCTTTTTTCATGCATCCAGACATCCTTCCACCTTTGCTTTGTTTCCTGCACGTGGGGTTGGAACATCCTTGAAAATCAATCAGCTCTCCTGGACCCTCCTTCTCATCAGGGCTGTATCCCATGGAATTCTTTCAGGCAGAACCCTGAATACGGACCTATCTCGAATTGTGGAAACCTTCCTCTATACTTTTATGGGGCTTATTTTTGTACTGTTGCTGAGTAACTTTTTACACGTCAGTTTTGCATAAATTGCACCATGAATGCAATGTGGAATTCAGCTCCAGGAAGAGGTAGGCAGGGGATTATTTGTGCAAGTATCTATCCACCCAGGCACCTGTTGGTTTAATTTGTGAAGCTGTGCCAAACAGTTGAAAACAGAAATTGGTTGCCTTGGTGACTTATTGCTCCTGTGAACAGCTAGTATCTTATACACAAGAATCTTTCCAAATTCTCTTCTGGTATCATTTGAAGAGGTTATTATTCTCCCTCTTGACTGTTGTCCTATCCTGGAAGGAGGGGGTGTTTCTGGTGAGGGAAATTAAGAACATCTGTGTCTCATCTGAGCAAGAATCCAGGCATGTTCTGCAATCCAGCGTCTGCAAAGCTTCCATATAATGGCAGTAGCTGATAGGTGTTATTTAGTTTGCAAGGCTTGAAACTTCTTGGTATTAGCCAGCATCTCAAATGCCAATTTCCATGAAAATTCTGCTTTGAATAATGACATATATGTTGTGATTTCCTTTAGTACTTCAAGTTTTCTGTAGAAATGGTAAATTTATTATTAAAGGTTTTTTCTATAAAACTTTTCTATAAAAGTATTATTTTATTTCTGATGCATTCTTATGGTGGCTGTACTTAAGTACTAAGTAAAATGTTGGTATCTTCAAAATGAAAAATTTTAAAGGACAGTGAAGATATGCTGTGTATTATTTTCACTGGAAAGAACCAGTGCTGTCAGCTGCAACTGTGTATGTCTTGCTTGTGTGTAAGTTAAATGTGATAATTAAATCTGAGTCATCCCCTTCATTTATGCCTATTCTGCTTCTATGCTTATAGCCTGTATTTTTATCAGAGCTGTTTCAGAACCAGAAATGCAACAAGTAGGGTAGACTTAATTGTACTTCACATCTTTATGTCAGTCAGAAAAAGACCCACATTTGAAAATTCAGTCAGGTGTCAAAGAGGTGATGTATTCATTTTGAAGTAAAGTTATTCACTTGAGGGGCAATCAGCTGATGGCTGGATTCTAAATTCCTGTTAAAAACAGTAAGAAAGTTAAGAGAGAGCTTAAGCTGGAATGGACTGCACTCTTATTGCAGTAGCAGTACTGGGATTTAGTAGTCATGCTCTGTATTGGAATATGTAGAGAGGTGCTTTCATCTTTTCAGGCTGTTCCGGGAATTGACTATTGCTTAGAAGACTCACTTTGCCTGCCAAGGCAGATATTTTTATTTGAGCTTGATACAGCAGGTACCAAAAGAGGGAAAGGAATTTATTTGTTCTTACAAGAGATCAAAGAATTTCCTTTCTAGCATAAGGAAACAATGGAGTTGGGAGTCAGTCTGAGACAGCTCAGCTGAAGAAATCCAGAGAGCGTAAGACAAGCCTCCTTTAGCTTGAGTGAAAGTAGAATTCTGTAGGGACAGTAAGATAAGACTCTGACTATTTATGTCTAGGTTATGATGCTCAGAAAGAATCTGGTATTGAGACATCCAAGCAAAAACCCAGTTCTTTTTTTCACCTCCTATGCACAGACCTGGAAGAAAGCATTAGCACATGAGTATTTAAATATGGTTAACTCCCAAGTATTGGGAAGAACAAGTTAACACCATGTGCTTACCTCCTTTTGCTCTTTTCTCTGTCCCCAGTGTACTCACACTTACAGGCTGACAAGACTAAAAATGTAGGGATTTGTTTGCCACCTCTTTTTGCATTGTTGTATTTGTAGTCAGGCCAGGCTTCTCACTGAGGAAGCCATCTGGTTTTTTTTGTTTGTTTTTTTTTTTTTTTAATCAAGAATGAGTTCCTCATATGCTCAGTCAGCTTAGGGCCCAGAATTTAAAACCCCTGTCATTGTAAAGCTGAAAAATTCTTAGATTTGGGAACATCAATAGAATTGACTGTTAATTTTTTTTTCCCTTGTGT